AGCTAAAACTCTAGCTTGAAAGAACAGTTTGAAAAGGGAAGTGCCCTCGCTGCCAGAGCCATCCTCTGGGAGTTTTAATACTCTGGCGTCTTAAAACTGATGTTGTTTGCCTCATATTAATGTTAGGGGCTCAAAGGTGGGAGTACAGTACAAGAATGTGTAAAAAGAAATTTTAATGAAAGACTGCAGGGTCATAGATCATACATGGACATTATTAAGCTAAATTACTAAACATTTTAATATGTTTATTATTGTAGGTGCTGGTACAAAGCCACATAACAGGCACCAGTTCATTGTGTTCCTTGGACAATTTTCAATTTTATTCAACTGCCACAGGTTATCATTTTAACCTTTCGCCCCATGTACTCTAATGTTCTCTATAGAACAGCAACAAATAGACTAGAATGCAATATATTGTTTAAAAGCAAATCTTTGCCATGCAGTGCAAAAAAATATGGCTTTCAGGTTGTCAGTATGTTGACATTCCACTGTAAGTGAACAAAAGCAGAGCAAGAAAGAGAAGCTGATTAAAAAAGCAGGCGCAGTAGTCAAAAGCAAAGGAAATAAACACACTGTTTTTGTCTGCTGATGAGAGAGAAGGCAAGAGAGAGTGAGAGAGAGAGAGAGAGAGAGAGAGAGCGAGAAAGAGAGAGAATGACTGTAACAGCTGTGATCTCAGTTCCCATGCCACTTCTGCCCACAGATAGAGGCTGAGGGAGGGAGACTTGTCATCTGCTCGAAAGCAGTTGCTGAAATGAAAAATGTCACTCACATTGAACTGAGGCAAGCAAAAAGCCAGAGAGGACCATAAAAACCACAAACCAATTAGAGATGGTTGCATATTACTTCTTTCATCGCAATAAATCCAGGTCTATGAGTGAACATTAATCACATGCAAAAAAAAACAAAAAGCCATTCAACTGTCAAAATCGCATTTCCAACAGGAAATGCTGGCTTTGCATAAGTGCTCCAAATGAATGGAAAAGACAAAAATATGAAATTTCCCTAATAATTGAAAAACTATTTCTACTATGGAAAGAGAGAGAGAGAGAGAGAGAGAGAGAGAGAGAGAGAAACTTTCCACAGCATTAGGGGGTATGAGAGTTTCTTGGTTGATTCAGTGATTAAATAGGTTAAACATATAGCACATGATCAGCACATAGTCAGTTTGCTTTCATCCCATTTTGCTCGAGCTATTGCTTGGAGGTCTCATATCTAATATTATGATATTTTCTATAATATTAGATATCAAAATGTTATTTTGGACAGCTAATGTCATGTATGTTGCATATATACTATTATGCTTTGCATTTGTATATTCTATATTCAGTGTATACAGTTTGAACCTTGATAGTTGCTGTTTATTTGCTTGAAATAAATCCAAACAGTAAGGAACACTAATTACTTTTCATTCCTTAGAATTGGTGCCCTAATAAATTGTTCCAAGCTTCATGAAACACTTGGCTTCTTTTCAAACAGCTTTGAATATGTTGAGGTTGTGGTGTCCCATCAGACTCACCCACCACAAACTGGTCCTGAATGTGTTTGCAGTGTGTTTAAGTGGTCATTATGATGAAAACCAAGAATTACCACTTAGTCCTTTCTTAAAGATACAAAATAATGAAGTGAAATGTCTTTATAGTTCTTAGCATGCATCATTCCATTGATTTTTAACCCCTATGTGACTGGCTGAAATGCACCCACAGCCCCTGACAGTACCACCACCATGATTCACGAAAATCTGTAGATAAGCATCTTTGTGCTTTTCACTCTGCTTATGAACTACTGCTCTCTTTGTGATTGAAAAATCTCATATTTAGATTCATTGTTCCATAAAATGTTCTGCTTCAAGTTATTTGCACCATGCTTTATAGTCTATAGTGCACTGCAATCTCTTCTGCTGGGACTTTCTTAATAAAAGTTGTCTTCACTAGAACACACCTTACAAAGCATTCAAAGCCTTGACGTTCATGTCAATCGACTCTTCTAGATGCTGAACAAGTATTGGGATTTCTTTCTTTCCCTCAAGAAAATGAGCTTTAATGTGCAGCCCGCTAGTACATGTAATCACCATCCTATACACCCTTGTATCTTCAAAATCCTTTTTGGAAAATACTGTGGAAACTCGTTGCTACTCTCATTGCATTTATGTTAAATTGCATTTATTTTAATGTTACATAATGTTCTGCAAATAAACACATAGTAATTACCCAAATACACTGCTTTAAATGTATTAAGATTTTCACGTAGTACTGTGTCTGAGAAAGAGTGCTTCTACTGTTCATTTTTCCCTCTTTTTTTGGAAAATAGATGAACAAAGATACATTTCTTTCCAAAATTATTATTATTATTATTAGTAGTAATAGTAGTAGTAGTAGTAGTAGTAGTAACAATAAGAAATGGCTCAATGCCTGCAGATATACATTTACATAAGAAGTGTAGTTGTTTGGGCTTATACAATTAGAGTCCACTTTATTAGGAACACTGTGGCATGGTTGTTGGTGCCAGATGGGCTGGATTGAATATTTCAGAAACTACTGATCTCCTGGGATTTTCACACACAACAGTCTCTTGAGTTTACACAGAACAGCCAGAACAACCATGCCATGGTTAAAGTCACTGAGATCACACTTTTTCCCCATTCTGATGCTTGATGTGAATATTAACTGAAGCTCTTGACCTGTATCTGCATGATATTAAGCACTGTGCTGATGCCACATGATTGGCTGATTGGATAACTGCATAAATGAGCAGGTGTTTCCTATTAAAGTGGACAGTGAGTGTAAATTGCAAGATAAACTTCACAATATTTTTTTCCAGAAATTGTGAAACAAGTGTAAATAAAATAAATACGCCTACCATTTTCAATCACCTACACATTATTATTACATATGCTAACAATGGAATAACACTTTTCACAGATTATCAACTAAGCAAGGAAATGTTCATAGCACTCCATAAAAGGCTATGCAGTAAGGTTTAGGTGAAAATGTTGCCCCTTTATTCTATCAGTGGATGATATGAATGCTAAAAAAATATGCGACTGTTAACACCATTTAACACCAGCTAGAGCATCGCTTTAAATATTTAATAAACTACACTGTATAACAGAAAGCCAGTGTAAGTAAAATGTACTTTTTACATTCCACCCCCTCCACTTCCAAACCTGGCAGAATTCTTTTTTTTTTATCATGTGTAAATTAAATCTCTAGCAGTATCTTTTCATTTGCTTCATCCTGTCGGCTGTCAGTAGGTCTTGATTGAAAAGTGGGGTAGAGTTAGCTGCTAAACACATTTAGGTGACACTTTATTTGAAAGGAAGCTGCAGTACATTTGGATTACCTACTACATTCAGTGGAGGAGAGAAAAAATCCAATTATTATTATTGGGTTAATGATTGAGACAGCATTTCATGAAGCTTTGAGACATCTTTAAAGACATTTTTAACAAAGTATCCACCCTATAATCCAACTGTAGTTACTTCATATAAAAGCGTGAAATTGGATGTTCCTTAACTGTAGTTACACTGGCCCATTTGCATTCAGAGCTATTATGAAGCACTGTTCCAGTACAGCTTCACGTATTTAAGATGCCCATGATGAATCATTTTCATGTTCTCAATCTAAAGTAGTGATCCATTTTGCATTTATAACACTTGAAAGCACTGTGTATACCTCCTACAACTTCACTCATTTAAGAAGCCCATACTGTATATCAGCTACATGAACAGGGCTGGAATGAATGCATACACAGAACACACACACTAATAACTCGCAAGATAAGGATCAAATAAAAGTCGAACCCATCAAGTTCTCCTCTCTTTCATGTAAAGACGAAGGCATTACTGCTTAACACCTCTAATCTCTGTTAGTTTTGACATAAGCCTTTCATAAATCAACCCACATTGCTAAATATTAATGCAGTGCTTCTGAAAGTGGTATGAAGGCCAAGGGTAAGTACCCATCAAATAATTTTTTTGTTTTTGTCAGTCCAAAAGAAAGCAGCCATTGTACACATAAAAGCAGAGTGAAAAAAGTACTGAGAAGTTATAAGTGAAAATATAGATAATGTGTTGCTATTAAAAGTAAGAAAGTAATAAAAAATGTACTCAAGTGAAAGTGGAAAAGTTGCTACTTTTAATTGTACTCAAGTATTTAAAAGCAAAAGATAAATGTTTTACCTGATGAAATTAAGTTTGATATGTTTTCATGCGAAAAGTAACTTTTATTACTTATCGAAAACTGTTAGAGGATTATTTTTGTTTTTGAGCAACTACACTATTTTACCTGATAATCATTTAATATCTCATCATTTAATATCATTACATTTGCTGGTTATATGAATGACTAATTCTACATAGTTTGATAATGAATTAATCAGAAATAAAATATCATGTAAATAACCAGTATTTACCATTTACTAGAAATTGACCTGCTTCTTAGTGAAGTTATGCTAGCTACTGAATTCGATGCTAATCTAAATTGGCTTTAGCAAAGATATCAGGCTAACTAGATCTAGTTAATGTTATCAAATTAGTAAAACTTACGTCGACTTGCTTTTAGAGTTCATGCCTTCTAGGGAGGCAAAGATGGCATCTCATTTTATACAAGTATGCTTACTCCAGCATATTGAAAGATTTCACTGAGGTAGGGCCAGAAGCACTTATCCTCAGGGTTGATATTGCAGTTTTGTGGCATTTCCATCTTCAAACACATATGAATAGCTACAGGGTAAACTACAATATGCATGACAAGGTCAACTCAGATAATGAATTGACATGAGACTTGTTTTTTTCTACACTGACGAACTTGATCGAACGTTGTTGTTCTTTCGGATGCACCTGTTAGGGGTCGCCACAGTGGATCATTGGTCCACGCGTTTGGTTTGGCCCAGTTTTTATGCCGGATGCCCTTCCTGACACAGCCCTCGCCAATTTTATCCAGGCTTGGGACCGGCACTGGGAGTGCACTGTCGTGTGCAACCCCAGTGGCTGGGGTCGGGTCCCTGGCAGGTAATCGAACCTGGGCTGCGGCAGTGAGAGCGTCATGGCCTAACCACTAGTCCTCCAGGGACCCGATGAACTTGATTGAATGCTAAACTGAAATGCTAACCTAAACCCATTATACACTGATATATAGCATACAATTATTGGCTGGATAAGAGAAGAAGAGACAATAAAGATTTATAACAAATACTTTGAAGGTCTTACTTAAGTATAGTAACAAGTATTTTCACCCCCGCATGAATGACTGATTAAGTGACATCTCTTCATCAAGACATTGAGACACTACTCAAAATCCATTGGCAGCTCAGTGAGTTGTTAAAGATGGCTATGGAAGCTGCAATGTTTTCAGTCTAAAGTGGTGTGTACTTGCTTGTTGACACAAATCATGTAGGTAGTAGGTCTATGGCACTGTTTTGCGCAGCAAAAAGTCTAAGATATTCATTTGACGGTGACAAAAACACTGTTGTACTGTCCTTGGGTCTGGCATGCCACTGCTTTATAAGATATCCATCCAGTGCTCAATAAAACAAGAGAACCACTAGAGATCATAGCCACATTTTTCAAGGTCTGAAAAAGAGACAAGATATCAAAAGTGCATATGTGTGTTTTTTTTGTGTCTGCAGTTTATGACACAACACTGTTGACAAATTCTTATCGTAGCCTGCTAGCTGGTAAATCATCTCTCAACCCTCAGGGACTTATTCCTGCACAAGTCAAAAGGAGCCTCATAAAACCTGCAGCATCAGACCCAGAAAGCAATTTTTGGATATAACAAGATTGAGCAGATCCCTACCTTTTGGGCCATTGATGCTGAAAGGAATGGGTTGTGAAAGGAGCACTCAGGTTAAAAGATGGTAAAAAAAAAAAAAAAAAAAAAAAAAAAAAAAAAAAAAAAAAAAAAAAAAAAAAAAGGAACAAGACTGACAAAAATTCAAAAGGGGAATGTGTTAAATATTATTTATATCATACATAACACCAGAGATTTATCTCTTTATCACTTTTATTTGGGTGGTTTTGCAACTACTTTGCATTTAATATTCTTTGTAGTGCTCAAAAGGGAATCATTAGTCTCCTGGATTAACTATAATAATAATGGTTGATTACACACACAAAAAGCCTCTTGCATTGTTATTCCTGTCATCTCTTAATGCGTCATCTTTAAAGTGGGGTTCATGCGGAATGATTTTCTGCCCAAACAAAAATTGCACATCATATAAGAATTCTTTGGTCCTGAGCTCAGTGGTTATAGAAAGCACAATGAGTTCAGTGGTTGTAGAAAGCACAATGTGCTCAAACGTGCTCACCAGCAGCTGATATAGTGCCAAAGACAGCTGACAACAAAGTTCTTGTAGTGTCAGACATTTTTGATTAAACTCTCAGAGTGTGACTGCTGCTACTCTCAGAGTGTGATTGTGCTTGTCTAAGAGAAGGCAATGGGATTACACGAAACTCACAGGACAGCTCCGAATACAGGAGTGGCAAAAGCAAAATGTAAACATCTAATTAATTCTTATAAAATGATCACATTAATTAATAGCAGCTTACATTCCTGTGCCCTCATCCAGTGAGCTGCAAAGCTACCATGCATGCTAATGGACAGAAAGAAATATGATCCATGTTATAATCCATGTTGTCTTCTTTTACACAGACAGCTCCAACCTCCTCTTCTTCGCCTTTTAAAACATGGCATAACATTGCCTCCAGAATACTGCGGACTCGTTTCTGTTTACACGAGCCCATTTGGTGCACGAGCCCAGATTGTACTGATTGATGACCTAAACAGAATGTAGTAATTTTCTTTAATCAGAAACAGGCTTGTGAGATCATGTGCAATATGCCAATATTCTATCATGCCCCATAAATATACCAAGCCAATCAGAGGTCTATTGTGACTTGGACAACACATTATCACTCAGTCTGTTATAGAATTTTCTGCCATGAGGGAAATATTGGGATCATCTCATATGGTGTGACAAGTTATAATCTTAAAGACCTCAGATATTGCAGAGTCTAAAACCAGCTTAACCTAATCCACTTTTTACTTTTCAAGCAAACTTTTTGGTGGCATGAAAAGACATGATTATACAATGTCTTATGATTAAATGTAAACTTATTCTGAACTCACCAGCTTCTACATCTCACTGATACACACACACAGCTCACACAGCTCACACATTATAAAGCAGTTTGCTTAATATACTGAAATGTTTAGCCACTGTTCTTAGCCATACTATGCAGTGAAGCAAAATTTATTTAACTAACAGCTTGAGCAGCTTTACGTTGATAACATTTGTATATCACATTCACAATGAAATTATTCATGTGTGCATACTGTCACTGCATGCATTAGAAAGAGCTCATTATACTCAAGAAGTGATGCATAAAAGTGGATCATGTTCTCATTTTCAGAACGACCTTCTTACCTTAAGTCACACTCTTCAAAAGTATCAGAATTATATTAGAATGCATTAGTATGTATGAATAAGAATGTATTGAAGCCAATAAAACCTATACTTGTAGTAATGGTTGTGTTCATTACGTTTAAATGAACAGTTCTCCTCTGTTTCCATTGCATAGGCAATGCTGTGTCTTTTTTGAAATGTCAATACACTGGCATATGCTATTAATTTGATGCATGAATCTGTGTTGTTGTGTTATGCAATTACCTTATCTTACTGAGTTATGATCTGTACCTCTGATCAGTATAAATTGCCTTTGCAGGATGAAGGGTATGGCAGCACTTTGTAGATGCAGAAATGGAAAAAGTTAAACAGAAATACAGAAGAAGAAAGAGTAAGTGCAGAAGTCATAATAAAACATTATTTTTAACAGAATCCAGTGTTCTGCCAAACACAGACCAATCATGATATAAATACAATTCCTAGTGATATAAATCATAACCATAAATTTTTGCCTTCATGCATGAGAAAACACAGTAAAGAAAGAAACATTGTATTGCCTTTATTTCCAAAAAAAAAAATATATGAAGCAGGATTAGTGTTGGCCAGAGATGACTTACATGGTATCTTGCCAGTATTTTGGCATTTCATTAAACTACCCATATTCTAAAGGAGAAAAACTGTAGGGCATTCAAAAAGAGAAAATCAAACCGCAACAGGAATTGGACCTTTCTCTCTCTCAAAAGCACGTTCTCCCCTGCCAAAAGCTCTGAACCAGATGCTCTCAAAACCAATGCTCTGAGCTGAACAGGAAACCAAAAGTAACTATTGCTAAGTGTGGAAACAATAATCAGAAGCGATTGTTTGTTTGAAGGATGTGTGTGGAGGATGTGGTTGTAGAATGGTTATAGCACCCAGGCCGTTCAGAGGATGATGGAGATGGGGATAGATTAGAAGATTGGCTTTGATTACCTGTGTGGAGAGGTAATGGAATAAGATGCGTTGGCCTAGTGGACCCGTCACTGGAGCACCTCATAATACCTTAATGAAATGTGGCAGGGACAAGGTGTGTGGGGTTGGAAGTATTATCACAGCACAGGGGGAAATGAAAGTCCACTGAAAGCCCTCTAATCTCAGTATAGTAGGAGGAAAAGCCAATAAGAATTTGGTAATAAAGGCAGAGGCTAGGATGAATGGAAGAAGGCATTGGCGAGCATGCTGCAATCATGCCCCTGGCCAGCTCAGCATGGAAAAAGACAGGAACTAGTAACAACAATGGCACACACATACAAACAATAACATACAAACACACATTGCCTGTGCTGAAGAGAGGAAATCTGATGGAAGTTATATATCTGATAAGACATGTGACAACACAGAAAAGCTGTTGAACAATTTATGATCCAGAGCACTTAATTCATTCAGCCTTAAATCAATGCTTGAAAATGATTAATACACAAATAAGGAATAAAACACAACAATGCTGTTATATGAAAATAACCAATAACAAGGTGGCATTATGTGGTTACTACCTCGATATTGATTATTTTCAACATCAAACAGCAATTCAAAGTATGTTATTCCCCCATATACCACAGCAATTTACCAACGTGCAACACATCATACTTTTTACCTCTGATTGTTACAAAGCTCTGACCCTGGAGACTCCTTCCAAAAATGCTAAATAAAGGTTAAGTAAACTTCATCATATCAAAAATTTATGTGGCACATCCACCAAACAAGTCCTTGTGTATGTTACTATAGAGATAATAACATATTACAGTGAAAACATTAATATAAACCTTGCAGCCTGAACTACTGTCAGAGTTGTACTGTTATAGAAAGTTACACCTTTTGACCAGTAAGAATTGAGAATTCAACAGCCTTGTGGTATAAGTCATTAATAATAAATGCTTTGTGTGTGTGTGTGTGTGTGTGTGTGTGTGTGTATATAAGACATCCTGGTCAGGCTACCATTATATGAAGTCCTTGAGAATAATTTACTGAGCTATCCTGCTAGTTTTTACTGACATTTCAGACGTTTGTGCACCATATATTTCTTTTTTCAAGAAAAGGAACAAGGAAGTAACTTCTACACAATTTAAGGACATAATGATGGATGGCTCTGTCTCCAAGGCCCTGCTCAGTAATCTATGTTTAGAAGTTAAGTGAGGGTCACGCCAGGGTCATGCCCTCGGAGCAGCCGGAAGACGCCTGAATGTGCCCATGTGCTGATTATTATACTGGTATGCAGGGTTATATCAGGTTACTGGCAAAACCCTCATTTATCACAGAGCCATGATAAACAGCTCATCGTGTCATATGGAATAATGAGAGGATCCAAAACTCACAGGTTAGAAGCCATAATTATACAAGTTATATCATATTCAGAAAGGAAAAAAAGTTATATCATTTTCAGAAAGGGAAAAAAAAAAGCATTTTAACCAATATTATTTTTCATCATTCACTATTAATATCTTTATAAACTCTATTTGCCCATTTCTGTTACTTATAATGAAGGAACATCCACAAAACACTAAATATCCTGTCCTATCCTATTTTAAATATCCACTAAATATCCTGCTATACATTTTACATTTCTTCGTCTTCTTCCTTTTGTCCTTAGGATAGGTAAAATCCATCTTATAAAAACAGCATCGTGTGTAAT